GGGCTAGCTCGGCTTGAGATTTGCTGGGAAGCTCAGAATTCACTTGTCGACTCTGTTGAAGCATCTTTTGCACGGGAGGTCTGTTTTGATTAACCTGTTTTTGGTGCTTCTGTGATTGTTGTAGCGAATGCTGGTGGTTTGGACCCATAGCTGCTGGCAGGATGGACTGATTCACAGCTGATAGCGTATGAACAGAAAGCATCATTTGAGATATATTACCAGAATGGGGAGTCATTTTCTGTGGTTGCTTTGTAGAAGGGGATGCCGCCCCAAATACCTTTTGGTGCGACTCAAAACGGTTCAAAGATTGAGAAGAAACTAGAGGTTCAGATTGTTGGACAGAGCTCAAACCAGACCCAGAACACAAGCCTTTACCTTGAATCAAGTGCATCATCTGCTCGCCGTTCTCACCAACTTGGTTGCCAGAGACCATGCTAAGGCTATTCCTGTGATCCTCATCAACAAAGAGGTTCTGATGCACCAGAATGTTCCCTTTTCCTACTCCCTTCAAAAGTTTGGCTTGCTGTTGAGACTGCTTGTTGGTGTTGCTGAGGGTGGGGCCTACCAGATTGCTGAACTTGCTGCTGCTGCTGGGGCAGCCGCTGCCGTTACTTGCCTATCTGTTTGTTCAACCCACTAGCGGCACATTGGGGGTTCCTACCAAACCCCTGAGGTGCCAATTGGTGTTTCAGTTGTTGCAATGACATAGGCGTCATTGGTGAAGATGGTGTTAGAGGGAATAGTGAACCTGGCTGAGTAGAAGCTTGATATTGAATCTGTGGACCATTCTGCAGATAAGTTTCGGGAAGCTGGGTCTGGGGTTGGACATTTGGCATCAAAACACTAGATGTAGCAAACTGTTGCTGTGGCTGTTGCTGGTGCTGATGCATAAGACGCTGCTGCTGCTGCTGCTGCTGCATTTTAGTGAGGCACGTGGCATATGGTTGCTGCTGTGACCCAGTAATATGATCGTAACCCTGATGATGAGCATGATGAGAGTTGTTCAGTGCATAGGACTGCTTTGGTGGCACTTGCTGCTGTTGCAGAGGATGAACCGTATACGATGGAACAGGTGGTGCAGTTGATTGATTAGCGTAAGCTGAACTCAACCCATTGAACACGGGACTTCCCTGGCTGTTCCCTTGTGCCTGGATACGATGTCATTGATTATTTATTAGAAGTTCAATGTAACATTAAGTATAAAAAAGGCAAATCAAATTCATTTCTGAACCCGATACTTTAAATTAAATACTTAAGAAAGGTTTGTCAATATCAACAAATGATTGCAAACTGAATTTTTCTTATGGATCAGCCATAATACCATCCAGCCTATTTTAAATTCTTGAACTGAAAGTCATTTCATTTAAAGAAAATTATTATTTAAATACCTAGAGTTCATTTTTCTTTCCGCTTGCTAGCCAGAGAACTTTGGATAAAGGAAAATTTTAGGTTTATAGTAACAAAGAAATTCATTATGATGTGATTAAAAGCAGCAAGCAATCCTCTGTCATTCAAAGTTCCATTTTCTAAAAAAGATTAATAAACTATCACAAAGCATTTGGCAAATATCTATTTCTTTGTATTTCCAATAGAATTCTCCGCAATTAAGATAAAAAATCAATATGATTAAAACATGGAGATTGAGATCACCACATTCTGAAACTGGAATTACTAATAATATACAACAATCATTTGGGGAAATATAAATTCTTATTATCGGCATGTAACAATTGACTATTTTAATAGACGAAGCCCAAACTGCAATAATATGCTGAAGCATAGACTTCATTATACCACTCATTGAAAAATAAATATCTTACTTGCATCATATGCTGACCAGAACCCGGTCCAGCGTGCACATTTACAGGGTTGGAAATTCCCACCATATTGGAGGAGAGCATGCTGCCAGAATTCCGCATTGTTGGTGATGCCAGTCCTCGGAAGGCTGGCCTTGACATTGGCATGCTTCTATTTATCCCACACATCATGCCCACACCATTTCTATTCGGTAACATGAGAACCCCACGATCTGATCCAGAAACAGCTCCGGGGAGAGATAATTTGGACTGCTGAATATTCCTGCCAGATAAAATTTGATTATATTGTTGCATTATAAGTTTCTCATCCTGGAAAAGATTCTCTAGGAACACCATATGTACCATCCCCAAGAGCAAATATGACCCAAAATTTGTGCCAGTAGATGCAAAGTGTTTACTGATATGTTGGCCAAATCTTAGGTATTAAAGGACTAATTTATTGTAATTTGTTACCTTATTATAGGGTCTCTACACTTGTATATATACCTCACAGATCCATTGAGTGGCGCGGATGGTGATACTAAATTACTGCCATGAACCACACCAGAAGATCCTTGCAGTGATGACATTGCTCCGGAGGAAGAAGGCAATGGTCCCACAGCTCCTTGATTCGATATTGCTAAACCACCAGCATGAGAAGCCTGATATCCAAGGGGTGGATCATCTTGGCTTGATGCAATGGCATCACAAAGATCAAGAGGCCTTTATCCAAATGATGTCAAAAAGAAAACAATAAAGCAACATCATAACGTCAAGAACAATGAACATGAAAATGAAAACAAATTAAAGATGAATGAATTACCAAACAAAAAAATAATAATAAAAACAGGACAGAAAAACTTACATTAGAACCCCTCCATTTAGGTTATTTGGGCAGACTTTTGAAAGAAAAATAACATGAGAATTGTGGATTGGCACTATCTGTTTGGGATCCTGGTTATCATGTTTTACAATGCACAAAAAGATGGAAAGACCAAGTTAGGAAAGTTTAGAAGAATCAAGGTTAGATAAACAAAGAGAATCTGTGACTGGTTTCAAGTATCAGTGCCTCATTTGGTTAGTAGTGTAATAACGCAAGGAAAAAGCTTATTTAATATGCATGTATTAACAAAAAAAAAAAAACTAGCCTATTAACATGGAGAATAAATAGCCCAATGTTTAGTTGATAGATTGCAAATCTTGTAATATTCATATTTTACTTTTGTAATGCTATCAAAGGTATTTTTTTCTTCTAACTAAGATTAGGGGTTTTTAAATGAGGCCTTTGGTAGCATCCATTCTTTACAAAAAAAATATATCATTACGTAAAATGATTTTAATTTATATAGAGGGTGTAACACAATTTAATTATATTTATTTTGTTTTTTTATCGTTTTAGTGAATATATTAACCCGACTAAAATAGAAATATATTTGACTATTTAAGACTCAACTTAGTGTTTATAGGAATAACTTAAAATATGTGGATCTGAGTGTTTTATTTTAGTAAAGTAATGATAACAAATACCAAATACTATTCATAAAATAATAAGTACTAATAATAGTTTATAATAATGTAAAGTATACTTATTTAATATAATTAAGAATAAAAAATAGGAAGTAAAATCAGAATAAACTAAAATTAAGAGGTTTAAGTTGATATTTATCCCCCACGGGACGAAGCTGCATGATGGTGAAGCAAAGTTGAGAATACTCGGACGTGTACAAACATGCAAGAATTATGGTTAGCACTTAGATGTTGTGGTACACACGAAACAAATTTTATCATGAAAGAGTAATTACTCAAAATGAGGAATTAATTATTTTCATCTGAGCACACTGCATTGAACTCGAATCGGTCTCACTCTATCTTCTTCACACCCCCACTATTGTTAGTGTTTGATGGCGTCCTCTAGACCCTTCATTTATCAAAGTCAATTTTGATGCACGTTTCTCAAATACAAATCAAAGATCGTGGTCAGGCGTGGTTATCTAGAATAGTGAAGGTCGTATAATAGGCGCAAGTAGAAGAAAGATTTATAGAGTTACCTATGCTTTACAGCGATTCGTGCGGTCCAGTTTGCAGTGGATCTGGGATTTGGGCATGTGGTCACTGAAGGCGATTCTCGCACTATAATACAAAAGCTGTCCACGAACGGTCGAAACATATTGGAGACCAGTGCACTGATTTGGGAAGCACGACGACGAATGGAGGCACTCCCTGCATATAAGTTCCAGTTCACTCCTCGCTCGAGAAACCAGGTTGCACATATCTCGGCAACTTGTTCTACTATAGGAATGGAAGGTCTCTACCAGCTTGAAGAAGCTCCACCGCATGACAAAGAACAAACGATGGATTGATCCCTTAGTGGTTGATGTTGAGGATTCTTCTGTAGTTCTTGAGGGTCGATTTTGTGCATTTTGTTTTCCTTTCCACAAACAATTCAAATATTTCTTGTCGGTGCAGGGAATAGGAGAGGCCGATTACCTTTTCTCTTTGAAATTACTTTAGATTTTTTTTAACATTTTATTAAGGAAAATCAAGTCAAGAAAGCAAAGATATGATCCTGGCCCCTATACTCAGGACACTCATGATTTTATGTTATGGGACGAAGTTATAAAATTCTAGAGACGAAGACGGATTATCAATAGAAAATACAAAGAAAATATCTAAAATATATGAAAATTTTAGGCTAGCCCACCTGCTCCTTGGTCCATCCTTGAACATAGTAATGGCACAATGAACACAACTCCAAATAGGAAATAGTAAATATAGAGATGTAAATTAAAACAGAACCTGGGGATGGAAGAGCAGTACATGCTTGAGAAAACACCAGTTGTTATGGTTTTGAACCCTCATTTATTGCATGAAACCAGTTTAGAACTAAATGCGGCCACATGAAATTGATAACTACCAGATGAATAACAGTCAATGATGCTGAATCGTGGCTACAGATAAAAAGTTAAAACCATTTTCGATGAAATTGATAGCTACGGATAAAAGAAGAGAAACGCATCAATCGTATAATGTTAGATAGGAACAAGATGATCGAAATTGTATAGGGGTTTTATCACATTGCAAACAAGATAAGATCATTTAAGAATCAACATCAATGCCAAGTAAATGAACAAGCCAAGTGTTTTGGCAACCTTAAAATGAGAAAGAACAAACACAATACCAATCTATCTTTAACGTCCATCCTCAATCATTTATTGTTTTTACTTCCACCAGCACTGCTGCCATTGTTACCTCCACTCGCCGCCTGTGCTGCCTTCTTCGCTGTCTTTTCTTGCAAGGCCTTTGCATCTCTGCAAATTCACCATTCATAAAAAAATACAAGGTTAAGCGGGGAACAAGCCAAATTAGGTTAAATGATACAAAATAAAATTAAAAGGAAACCTTTGACGACGTTGTTCAGGGGTCAATCCATCGTCCTTAGAACCATTCTTCCCTTTGCCGCCTGTCCTGGATTGAGCCCTTTCCCTATCTTTTTCTCTCTGATTGCCGCATTAGCTTAAGTTAACGAATCAACAACAAAGATATGTTTATTTTATAAATCAATCTTCTGAAATCACGAATTATGATTTTTTTTTCAATGGTACAGGAATAAAGCAAATTAAAAGGATACGAGTCATTGTTGATATTCTGGGGAACCAAACAAAGGTCGGTAAAGATCAAGCCCTGCAAATTTCAAACGATTGATAACCCAATTCCACAATTAAGAAGCAAAACAAATGTGAAAAAAAAATGAAAGTGATGGAAAGGATGAAAAGAAAATTAACCTTTTTTCCTCAGGTTGGAATCATGATGTCAAAAGATTTAAAAAGACTGAAAGAAAGAGAGTTGTTGCAAGCCAATGCATCCCAGTTGTACACGTGTACCAATCGTAATTAATAAAAGATTTTTTTTAGGGAAATCTCTTCATGACTGATCGCTATCAAAAAGATAATTTTCCTTGGATAAACTCTGAGTTTACCACTTCAACTATCACTTTGGTTACGTTTTAGTCACCTAACTATTTTTTCTTTAAAATCTTGCCTAACATTTACTTTTAGTTTCATTTTGATCACCTAACATTAAGAAGTTAACGATGATGCTGACATGTCACCATAAGGTAATGTCATGTCATCATTGGAAAAGTTTAAAAAAAATGCTACATCAGTAGTTCTGTTAATTTTTTATCGACGGATGATCAAAATGAAATCAAAACGTAATGTTAGATATAATTTTAAAAAATAGTTAAATGACCAAAACAGAACTAAAGTGATAGTTGAGTTACTATGTGTAATTTACCCTTTTCTCTTTCAATCTCTATTCGTTTGTTGGTTTTTCATTCTGGATTTTGAGCATTTCGGGCAGGCTAATTTACTAGTATATACTCTTTTATAAATTTATTTATGAAAATAGTATATATATATATGATTATTTATTAAAATAATACTTTTTTACACAAGATCAAAATGTGTTTACTCGCATATGATCTTGGAGCGAGTCTACTTTGCCTTTAGCCTCTCGAAGACACATGTACTGAACCTTATGATTGGGTGGAACTTGGAAGCATAAGATACATTGGGTGGATGTGGGTAATATCTAAAGAAGTGATATGAAGAACAACATTGAAAACAAGTTTCTTCCCATACTTCTATCCGTGTTGTCTCTTATAGTATGTACAAGTAGGCAACTCACTGATACCGATAAAATTATCAACACTAACAATAAGGACAGTCGTAGTTGTAGGTCTAAACTTAGATGAAGAAGCCTTATCTCTAACTCTTTTACTAGGACGACTAATGGAATTATAAGGGCAAAAAGAACCAAGATGCTTCCTAAAATGATATCCTTGTTTTGATTTCATATTCTTTGTTGTGTTCCTCCAAATTGTATTTATTGTCGATTAGTGAACTACAAAGTTTAAGTTCTTAGATCTACCCCTGCATTACGATATTAAATCTCAAACGAACACATTTTGAGATAAATTCACATTTTGGTATCTCAATTATAAGTAAGTTTACTTTTGGTCACTCAACCTTCGGTCGTGAGTAAATATTTTTTTGGTTTTTTAAAAATTTTTATAGGTCGGTGTAAGATAAATTCCCTATTGTCTTGGTAATTTTTTGAACAAATTTTTTTATGTTTTTATACTTCATGAATCAATAATTTTTTTTTGCGTGAATTATTATATTATCATCTATCTATTGATCATGAAGTTACAAAAAGGTTCCCAGCATAAAAAGAACTTTTTTCCAATAAGAACACTCCAGCCAACGATGAATTGATCTTGTACCGACATTTAAGAAACTAGGGAAAAAATCTAAAATAGTTAACTTACAACTGAAAGTTGAATGATCAAAATATAAATTTCCTAAAAACAATTAATGCAATTTCGAGATTTAACATCAAAATAACCCGATTGCTACAATCAATCAATTGCGCGTCTCGATTATGACTTTTCAAAATATGATGACTCAATTGTAAACTTACTAATAATAGAAAGACTTGTAGTACAATTTACCAAAGTAAATACAATAAACATTTTGTAAAATTAAACATGACTAGTTAGTGAAATAGGATGAAAGAACAGTTTAAACTAACAACTTCCTTTTAATTTCCGGGAACCAAGGAAGTTAGAAAAGAAAAGAAAAGGCCCCTCCCCTAATTTCCCCATAAGACTCGCGCTCCATTTTCATAACCTCTCTTTTATCTCTCCCAATCTCCAATTTTCCCCTTTATCCAAACCTCTACAATTGAGAACCAAAAAACCAGAAAGAAACCCTACACAGAAAGACGCAAAACGGAAAACTAAACCATTGGTTGAGACAAAGGACGTCCTTCTGATGTGCGTGCCCCACCTTTTCTTCTTTAGTATTTCATTACATTTTTAATAAGAAAAGCTGAGAAAATATGATTGATTTGGTCATCTGTCTCATATTGTGAACACAATAATAATCATATGTAGTTGTGTTTTACAGGTGAATCATTGAAGGCTGTCTGTTAAATGGGACTTCTTGTGTTTCTGCGAATGTAAATCCCCACAAACTTTTGCCACGCCAATCTTATTAAGGTATCCTTCGATCATTAAGTAACAATGATTCACTTTTAATTGTAATGTAATAGAAAGTGGTAACAGGAGGCTAACGCTTTTTGAGCAGATGTCAGCAGCTGACAATGGCCGGAATAATCCGGTTCAGCCCCGGATGCTTCTGGATATTATAAAAGACGACAGGTCCATCAAGGACAAGAAGAGTTGGAAAACGTTTCGTGATAAGCTACGGCTCAAGCGAGCCGGTTCTGCCTGGACCTCCTCCGTCCGTGTCCCGGCTTCCGATGTTAATGTCCATACTAGCAGACCCCGGTCCTCACCCCGTGGTCCGCGTTGTTCCAAGACGGCTGACACGAACCATGCAGAGGACAGGGGTGAACATGTCTCGGCTTCTAACCCGAAAGACGGTCCACGCTCGAAAAGCTTGAAGCCACTGACGATGGTACGTCATCCATCGGGTCGAATTTCCTCCAAGAACGCCGACGAAGACGATGATGTCGACGACAACGATGACGATGACTACGGGTCTTCGGGAGAGGAGGACGGATCAGAAGAATCACCCGTGGAGGCAATGGTGGAGGAGAAGAGGTCATTATCCGCTAGGGAAGCGGTGGTTGCACAGGAAGCAGCAGAAGCGGCGGCTGCAGCAGCAGCTGGAACAGAGGAGCCGGTGAAGATGTCGTTGATGGACTTGTTGGGGGAGACGGGGTACGGTATGGGAGAAGACGAGGAAAACGATGAAGAAGAAGATGAAGAGGAAGACAATGCAGTGGAGTCATCGAGGGGTGGGATGGAATATACGTGCTGCGTTTGCATGGTTAGGCATAAAGGCTCGGCGTTCATTCCATGCGCGCATACCTTCTGCCGGCTTTGTTCAAGGGAGCTCATGGTTCAGCGAGGGAACTGCCCGCTCTGCCATGGCTACATCTTGGAAATTCTTGATATATTTTGATTTCCTTTTTCTTTTTAAAAATCCCATGTTGATTGCATGCTTGTTGAGGAATGAAATAGTGTGTAAAACAATTGCACTTCCTAATACTTTCCCACTCTCTTTTTTTCATTGGGTTTTGTTTTTGACGATAAATAAGCAAAAAAAAAAAACATTGAATGAGTTGTTGAGATTGCAATGGCAAAGTGGTTGGATCTATTAGCTGAGATTAGGGAACTGGTTGATGCTACTGATATTATATGTATACAATCTTACATAATTGTTCGTATTTGAGTATTTTTATAAAAAAAATAATATTTCATTATTCTTAAAGATATTCAATGGATTCACAAAAATAATAAAATCATTTTAAAAATTTATTGCGATAAATTTTAATATTTGATTAAGAGTGAATTTTTACAATTTAGCTGGTTAATAATTTATGTTATATCACAGTCAAATAATAATTTAACAATTTTTTTTTCTAATATAATAAAATCTTTTAGAGAAAGTTTGTTTTGAATAAACTTTTTTTTATATATTTTTTTCAAAAATAATATCTTCCTCTTTTTTAAAATTATTTTTATTAGAGTGATTTAAAAAATAATTAAAATTAAAAGAAAATATTTACATATTCATTGTTTGTTGAAGGATGTTATTTCGGCCTTTGATGGGTTTTGCCCCAAGTTGAGCATGATTTAACCATTGCTTTTATTTGCTTTGGAACCCGGAGGTTAACTTTCCTTAGTCCTTGATTTTACCCTTCAACCACTAAGCATTTATCTCCTTTCTCAGAGGCTGGAGCAAGTTACCAACACACTTAACTTTTAGGACCCAACAGCTATGACAAGAATGAACCATTACGACTTTAGTGATAGAAGAAAATATTATTCTCTTCAGAAGTTTCGGATTTGAATAATTGTGTCTCCAGAGTGTGTTCATTATCAATTGGCTAAGAAAATTTGTTCCGAACAACTAATAAAAAGAGTATGAACCATTGGGGATTATGGCCAACACCTCCCCCGCAGCAGATTGAACTGCCATTGCGAATATGATTAAGCTACCTATACACGTTGTTTCATTGAATATTTCCTCATGAGAATAAAATAATACGTGCAACGGGTGAGAACCTATCTGATCATTCAAAGCAAAGAAGAGCGTTAGCAAAACATGAGAGACGAGCTTATGCTTTCATTAAACATACCATGTGAATATACAACTGCTGCTTAGCAAAAGCTTTCCTTACGTCTTCCCCGAAACAACGAAATATAGGTGGTTCTCGGGCATCGTGGTGTTAGTTTTTAGGCTAAAAATACGGTCACATATAAAAACAACTATTGAAAACTACAATACTACTGGAAGAGTAAACAGTTTGATGTGTATTATGAATTCCAAGACCTCCGACAAAAAGATATAGCATCGGATTCTATTCCAGTCATACGGGGGAAAATACAGAGGAACTCAACCACCGGGTTTAATTAACGGGGAGATCAAAGGGCCATAAAAAGAGAGTTCACGAGAACACTTATCTAGTCAGCCTTTGGTTCTCATAATGGTAATACTGCCTTTTCCTCCTTCAGTACGAATTTTAGTTTTGCCGACAACAGGCTTCCCAGAAAAAGCAGAAGTGGGGAAAGCAGCAGCAAGATCTTCATTACTTTGTTCTGATTTTGATGGCGGTGGAGTTCCGATTCGCTGGTTTATATCCTTCAGGGTAACATCTCCATGGAAGCCACAGGGTTTAATGAAATCAAATGGGTAGGCAACGCAAGACGCTATCTTAGGGGCAGCATGTATGAAAGATTTCCTACCTAAATGAGCAAAATCCAATCTGATGTGTTAGGGGAAGGAGACATTCTTATGGAATGATATTGGAGATAGAACAGGACAAAACATAACAAAAGAAGGAAAATGAGAATAAATATGTTACCTTTGTAAACAACATTTCGAGGAGTTTGAATCGCTTGCTTTTGAGCAGCATCAACCTGAGACTCGGGCTGGGCATTGCACAACTCTATGAACACAGAATCAAGTTTAATCATGAAGTTAAGCTAAATGACAATGACAGAAGACTTTACTCAGAAGGAAAGGATTTGTGTACCTGAAATATCAATTTGAACATCAGAAGCGCCACTTGGATTCCTGAATCTCACATTATAAAGAAATCAGAATATACTATCATGATCAAACAAAAAAAAAGGACGTTGAAAGTCCAACCAAGCATACATATCATCAGAGCAAAGAAGCATCTCTGCATCATTAAAATATTCGGCAAGCCACCCTTCACACGACTGATCTAGGCCCTCATAACTGGAAGCTGATGCATCCTCTGAAATATTTTGTTATGGTTAAAACCCAAACATGCATTTGATTCAAGTTGATTACTTTTTGTATGAAATGGACTTGTAAGGGAAACCTGAAAATCCAGCAATCCACTGAGATGTGCACGGACCAAGTAAAGCCTCTTCAGTTGAATCATCCCTCTCCTAAGCACAGAAAGAAACAAACAAATAAGTAAAAAAAAAAAAAACAGGGATACACAAAAGATGTATATTTTTAAAAGGTCACCAAAAGATGCAGAACGCCAGAACTTTTTATATATAAAGAATGAATTGTATTAAGAAAAAGGAAAGCGTGCTCCAACCAATAAATTAATAGCTATACAAAATGATATACGTGGAAGATTTTCCTTCCCTGAATATAAAACAACTGACGATAAACTGATGTTTTCTACCATCACATTCCACATCTAGCATACAGTTCAAGTCAATTTTTTAGAACATAAATGAAAGATAGCAGGTTGAAACATATGATGTAATGACATGCTTTTACTTCTCGGCAACAAAAATGTTATCTAGCACTCACCCTCGATTTTAGGAATGCAGATGGCATCTCTTCACAGACAAGGGAAGAATCTATTACATGAGTGTCAAACTGAAGCATTCTACGCCTTTTAGCTTGTGAAGAGGCCTCTCTCTTCTCCTCTGGTTCCTTGCTCATATTATCTGAAATCGACAGTCTAATTACTTATAAAGGAAAGAAAAGAGCAACTATTATAAAAACAAGAAAGTTTCAAAGAATACATTATCAAGCATCAAGGTTTACCATTAACATAATGTGGCAGATTCCCACATTCCTTAACAGGGGTTGCTTCATCAAACATATAGGAAAGGTCTTCCTCATTCAAGGTCACTTGAGCGCATGCACCTTGGGAGGCATCTGCTCATATGTTGTTCAGACATCACTAATCACATTTCTTAAATCATTTTATTCAATAGGCAACTTCAAACATATTAACTTAAAATACTTCATCATCCGAGTTAATAACTAACCAAAAATGTAGTTCTTTTGAGTACCATAATTCTCCCCACGCCAATTCCAAGGCTCTCTGCAACGAATCAAACAATAGACATAGCAAATATAGTATTCAGGCCAAACAAAGAGCCAATGCAAATGGACTAGACAATGAATCAGCCGATGATTTCCGAAAGGTGAAATCCAAGCTACATTAAACCACATTATGAAAAATCCCAAACAGGGCTTCAACAAATAAGAATTAAATCACCAACAGAATCCATAAAACCACATAGACATGAAGAGGGGGGAAAGTAATGGAATGCTATCCAGATAAACAACAGCAAACAGTAAACACTGCCCCTCATAATTAAAACAAGGAAAGGAAAACTAAAATTACAGCATTGGATGTAAATTCCAATAACGGTGACCCCAACAAACACCACATATAGAATAATATGTGTAGCATTTGGATCTAGCAACAGGGATGTATGTGTTTATCGGCATTGATTTTTATGGTTATGAAAAAGAACTAAAACACGGTGAGCCACCACTTCATTTACAGTACAAAAAAAAAACAAACCCAGTATATCCCCACTAATTTAAGTAAATTAAAACAAAGCAAACCCAATTCCTAAATGCAGCATTCCCAATTCCTAAATGCAGCATTCAATCCATAAAATAAATGAAAAAATAAACACACGCACAAATCCAGCAGAAACCCTTCTGAGAGAAAAACCAGCATTCATCACCCAAATAAGTTGGTCGCAAAAATTAAATAAAAATGCCAAAAAACAATAAAAAAAAACATGCATTTTAAAAGCAAATGACATCAAAGAGAAATTTACTCCTCGTTATTGCAATCCATTTCTTCTTCTTCCCCTTCGAACTGAACCAAATCTCCCCTTTTCTTAATCTTAGTTTCTCAGTCCTCACTTCTTCAATAACACAATCAAAAGCAGCCGTTGCACAGAAATCCACTAGCACAACACGGATGCAATTACAGATAATATTATAAAGCAGTAGAAGCAGCAGCACCTTCGCTGCCTTTGCTCTTTTTTCCTTTATTTCATATATGTGCTATAATAATATCTCTGCTTAAAACAAAAATAAATGTCGTCTCTTGCTTGCTTTTCTCTTCTTATTATTTTATTATTTCACTCTTTTTTTTTAGTTTATGCAATAAATTTAACCATTTTTTAAGGTAAGTAACGATATTTTCAACTTCAGTCACCGATTTTTCTAATAAAGTAATCGATATTAATTTAACTTAAATATTAGTTCAATTTAGACAAAGGTAAGAACCTAAAATCTGTTTTTGATAATTAATTAAAATAAAACTTTTACAGTTTACTTTATTTATGTGTTTCGTCATATCTTATAGAACCTAAAATATTGGATGAAGTTATTGTTGTACTATAATTTTATCTAATTAATATGAGTCTATAGCCATATTTTAAAGATTCTTTAATAATTCTTTTGCAATAACTTCGTGCAGTTAAATTACATTCAATGTAACTCATTAAGTGATATTAGTGATAAAAATAAATATTATTTTTTTAAATATTTTGAATTCGAGTAATTGTGTCTGAAAGATATATGTATATTGTTAATTAATTAAAAAATTAAATAAATATTACTTTATAATTAACCCAAAATATTAAAATAAATTGTAGTCTATTCAGCACAAATAATATCATTTTCATTAAAGAAAGGATACAAAAATTATATATATAGAGAACACGAAATATCAGACAAAACAAAGCCCAATTATTGTTCAAAACCCGAAAGTCTTAGCTCTACAATTGATCATAGCCTTATAAAGAAAACATAGCCCACGAGAAATAAGGACATGGAAGGCTGTCATTTTACTGGAAATGATCACTCAATAATAAATCGAAAAATTAATTAAAGTAAACGGAACAAAAAAAAAATGTAACATTTTAATTGATTCGAATTTATAGAATTTAAGTGTTACGTTGAATTATCAAAATGATTAATTATTTTTCAAAAAAAATCATTTTATCTAAATCATGAAGACATAATCATCATATCTAATATAGATAAATATAAATTAAATTTACAAAACATAGAACTACGATAATACAAATCGAGTAATATTAATAAGTTTTATAAAATTGAGTTACTGAATGTAATATGATGTAAAGTCAAATGAATATACATATCTACTATTATAAATCAAGACATAGTTTGAAGAAATATCAATTGGAATTTTGATTTAATGTTGGGCTCTTCGAGTCTCCGTCTAAGAACCTATGTAACATCCCAAACTACAAGTTAGTGACTAAATTGTAAAACTTCAGAATTTGATGATTAAAATAAAATAGTTGAATAGTTCAAGAATTTATTTGGAGATATTTTATGAATTATTGATAGTAATTATTATATGAAGTAAAAGGTAAAATGGTTATTTGACATGAAAGATTTTTATTTCCCTGTATAATATAAGGAAGGGATAAATTTCTCCAAAAAAATTTCTTCTTCTTCTTTCTCAGACGTGAGCTACCAAAGGCAAATGTGAGTTTCTTTGTTAGTTGATTATTTGTTGATTTAAAAAGTGAGTTTTGATCCTTAGGTGATACTTAAGCTTAAGGAAAGCTTAAGTTGTCTTATAATCAAAAGATGAAGAAGTTATAAGAGATTAAAGAGAATGGGTGTTTAAATAAATTTCTGGAAAAAGAGTTGATAAGTTGAATTTGAAACTAAATTTGACTTGTCATCAACCTAATTAAAAGATATGAAGTGTTAGAACTGGAATTAAAACATGTTGCAAAGTTGGTGTAATTCTTGAATTTCATATGGATGATAGAATTTTGAGGTTTAAGAGGTGATAAATGAGTAGTAATGGATATATGTATATGGATGTGAGTTAGGAATATGTATTGTGATGAAATATGAAGTTTTTGAGCTAAGTTGAGTAATTTTCGTGTATAAAATGTGAATTTTGGGCTAGTGTGTATCGATACATATTCAACCTATACCGATACATCAATGGTAAATTTCCAGAAAATATTTAAAGTGTACCGATACACAGGAAATGTATCGATACACCCCTTAAAATGAAAACTTCGAATGTAATTTGTGTACTGATACATAGGTAGTGTATTGATACACGCGTTAAGGAATATACCGATACACTATAGAGTGTACCGATACCTACCTTAAATAAGAATGAAAATAGCCTTTTGTTTAGTTTAAGGAATGAAAGGTTAGAGTATACTAATTAGAATACTGATATGTATCAATGTATTTTTATGTAGATATAGAACGTAATCTCGTTCCGGAACAATCGAAGAATTAAGATTGAATCAACGCAAGCAAGGTCAAGGTGAGTGCATAATATAGGGATAATCTAATGGAAATAAGACTTATGATGAGTCTATTTCCTAGGTCAATTTCATAGTATAATAGTTATGAACATGCATACATTATAGTCTTTATTAAATATGCATAAGTAATATATGTTTACATATGATTTGACATATGTTATATGACTCATGTTATATGATATAAGATGGAGGGTTATATGCACATGTGAATGTGATTGAAGAAAAGACATGTGATCACAAAGGAAATGACATGAGTACATGTTTATATGAAAAACAATATTAATGCCCATGTTATGTAATATGAGAGCTCTAAGTATAGTTGGCATGCCAAGAGTCGAGGGTTTCATAGGTCCTTTGGGACATATTCACAAGTCCTTATGGACATATTCACAGGTCCTTCGAGACAAATTTCATATGCCACTCAGTGGGAATTATATGAGCTGTGGTTACAGCAGATGTTCACAACCTCTATGTACTCAAATACCTTAAGTTCTTAGTATATATATGGGCCTATAAATAATGTGAAAAGTGTGTATTTCATTATATGTTATAGTATTAATATTGATTACAATGAATCATATGAAATGAAATGGAATTCTGAATATTATGTTGCATGTTCATATTCATAAGAAATGCATTATTATAAGTTTATGCCTCACTAAGTTTATGACTTAGCGTTTACACGTAGGTACCGAAAAGCATAATGATCCAATATAAGCTCAGCAGAATTGTAACCCCCACAGACCGATAAAGGTAACCAGATCCGATCCGGGGTGTCACATTTGGGCCACCGGAGCGACCCACTGTAAAAATAGCGGAAAATTTAAAACTTTTTAAATTACATGTAAATTAATAAAATCAGTTGTCACTATTTAAAAATAAAACAGATTTCCAGACTCCTATATAAATCAAAATACAAATACATGCCCCCTAATCACATGTACCATACTCTGCAACAACGCCGGAAGAACTCCCTTATTGAAGTCGATAGATGCACTGGTACAATTATTTTAACCTGAAAAGATGAGTAATAGAGTGAGCTTCAAAAAGCTCAGTAATACAGAACTACTAGATGATGCTGAAGAACGTGCAGATACAGATAAACATACATATCCTTATTATTTTCGAACATTTACAGATTTTTATGTTGAGCCGAGATCCTACTGATATTTCAGATGGTAACGGACAATGATCTTTCAGTTCAGACAAATATTTCGGATGACTGAGTTCAGGAGATCAGAATAGGTTATCTAGTGGGTTCCCAAAAACCATGTAACTTTTCAAATCTTTTTAAAACATATATATATACCCCCATCCCAACACATTATAATGTGTAGGTTCCCCAGAACCATACACCCAACCCAACACATCATATAAGGCCCTGAGCACAAAGCCGAGGAACCTGCGAAACTTCTTCCTTCAACAATACCCCCCAATTAAAACGTTTTCCGTCCGTAAACGGATATATCAAAAATCAAAACATAAATCAGGTCAAGTATCATATTAGAAATCAGGTCAAATAACATATCAGAATCCAAGTCAAGTATCATATCAGAATCCATGTCAGATATCAGATCAGAATCCATGTCAAGTATATATCAGAATTCAAATCGAAAATCAGATAAAATATTCATGTGAGTAGGGAACACACTAGAGTTTACAGGTATTATTTAGAGGTACTGTATCAGGCAGAGAAACACAGTTCTTCAGTATGTCGATAGAATGCCAGTATTTAGGATCACTACATCCATATCAATTGAGTGGATAATCGAACAACTTAACAACGAAGATTCAGAACCTTAACAATCTATGTCGATTGATCGCATTATTGAACAACTCTTAGATGATAGTTCCCAGAACTAATACTTATCGACTAGTCATTTCGTGTCCTTCTAGGGTATTTACACTTTAATACCAAAAATTCTTATCCATAGATCATCTTCGGAATCATCACTGAATAGATATTCCAATGTCTTTATTTCATTTTTACTCTTCCACTATATCATGAAATACTGACGTGATTGATTTGTAGTTCATGATCCAGAAGAACAGTACATCGTGTATGTTCATTAACGTTTCCAGACTCATCCATATCACTTATTAAAATCTTAGTCATTGAGGTTACTTATTTCACTTAGTAGTCAAATCCATTCTAATTACTTCAGAGTTTTCCAGATTAATTTGGACGTCTCTAAATTTCAGATACATATTATACTTCTGTTATGCTCGGTCTTCGTGGTTGATTTGTATAACAAATATCCAATTATTAGTGCTTAACGCGATCTAGAGTTGAGCTGAGCTGAATACTTCCAAAATTATCATCGAGCCAAACTTGAGAAGACAAACACGCATTCAAGTAATATTTATGCCGTTCAGGTACTAGCATATCATTAAGGTAGATCGGCTCACTTAAGTTGTATTCCATAACTTGTAAAGGTAGTCCAACACCTATGCTTATTTGGATTCCTTAATTAATCCAAGACATTTACTTAGAATAGGACACAAGGTATTTTGGTAATTTTGGTATTCATTTTTATTCCATTTATTTCAGAGCTCGAAGATATCCAATCATTCTTGAGCTTGATGGTATTCTTGGGTCATTTCCATTACAGGGGTATTTTGGTCATTTTATAGATTCAACGTATTTCAAACCTTTCCTTCCGTCCGATCTTACTATTAAATTCAATCTTATCATTTATTTCAGTCCTTTCGAACAATTCTGACAACAGAACACCCCCGACAAATTGTTCTTCAGGTATTTACTCATA